ATCTTCAGGGCCAGTTATCCAGCCTGCTTCATGGTCTCCTGCATCATGACCTCTTCTGAGAAAAAGATGTCCCCGATTCTTTTACAAATTTGGAGAAAAGGTGGGTTCTAATGCCTACTGCAAGGTCAAGAGCTACCATGTTTTACTATGGCTGAAGGACAGGGAAGGAAGTGTATACTCTGATGAGTACATCTGGTTATACAGCCACAAAAGTGCAGAAATTCACTAAAGCTAACTTTGCTGATTCTAAGCCATTGGACTTCTGACCCTCCTTCAGCCCAAATCTGTACACACTAGATCAGCAAAGGCAAACCACTGACCTGTGGGTCATGAACTAACCCACCATCAATTTTTAGTGACCCATGAGGAGTCAGTGAAATGACATCATCAAATTTAGCAATTTTTTCAGTTTTGTTTGTTCCTGGTGTATACCTAAACAAATCTAGTGCATACTGAACTAGTTTTATAATGTTTTGTACAATTGTGCAGGAAGGTTTTGTCTCTCTTTGCATTTTATCACTCATAGTCTCATTTATTTTTAGTATCTGCTTGAATAATTTAAAATTTGTGACTATTCTGAAGCATTGTTTTCATCCATGAAATCAACCTGTGGGAATCACCTTCATATGGATATGAGTGATACATACCTCAAGCTGAAGATAATAAAGTATGAACCTCAAATTAAAACATCAGCAACTAAGATATGCCAACAGGTTTCTCATTAAAAAAATATCAGCAAATACATTAGTGATTCATTTATGTTTATAAAAATTTTAAAGTACCAAAATGACCAACAACAATAAAGTTTTGCCATCTCTGCACTAGACTATGCCATGTGTGGTATTTTGGAGTAAGCTATGAATAAGACCCGCCCCAACATTAATATCCTGAAAGAGGAATAGACTAAGATATCTGTAGAGAACCGTGTTGGCAATGTTGAGCATGAGGAGATGAATACATGTGAGTAGAAATTTTTCTGCTAGCCAGTCCAACTACATGAGAAAGTTGGACTTTAATTAACTCCAAAGAAGGCAAAGAAAAACAAACACAAGACCGATAAATATATGTAAACAAATATATGTATTAATAACAAGAAAGGTTACAAGTTACATGGACAGTTACATTGACAGTTTGTGTGTGGTGAATATTATATGTGTGTGTTGTGTTGTGGTGAGTGTTCGTACGTACGTGTATTGTAGCGTGTTCTCAGCATTTCGGAAATGCTGTATCTGTGGAGTAAAAAGATTTACCTCAAGGTGGCGGCCCAAAGGCCTGAGGGAAAAAATGGAAGAGGTGAAGGGTCAGCGAGTATTTATAGCCAGGGGAGAAAGACCTCTGGTGAAAGGGTAAAGAGCTAAGGAGGAGCTAACTCCGACATATCCAAAGACATTAAGTTGAAGTTGTGTTGAGGCCTTAACTGAAAATTATAGGATCCACATTGAAAACATTGATTGTTTTGATATTTTCTATGATTTTAATTAATATTCTTTTGTATTAATGGGCCTATTTATACATTGTGAGTTTTGAAGTTTGTGGCTATTTTGCTAGTTTTGTTTCCCCATCTGGATCGATATACACCTGATGAAGGCTGGAGATCACAATGGCTAAAATGTTGTGATAACAACAAAGACAGGCACAATAGCCTGCATGTGTAAATAAAAATCTTTTTTTGTTTAGTTTGTCGGAGTTAACTCCTCCTTCAGTCCGTTAACCATTTCACCAGGGGTCTCTCTTCCCTGGCTATAATCAATCGTGACTCTTCACCTCTATCTCTTTTTTTCCTTCAGGATTTCAGCTATCAACCTCGAAATGTTTTTTTTTAACAAGGGATAGCGTGGAAACACGCTAAGCACAATATTCACACACGCACACACATACAGAATATTCACACACGCACGCACATACACAATATTCACAGTTACGCACATACACAATAAATATACACTTCTGATCCTTTATATATATTTTTATTTGTTGTGTTTATAAAAATATTTATTGTTGAACAAATTCATTTTCTTCTACTTGATTATTTCTCTTGTTGTTGTCTTTGTTACATTTGATATTGTAAAAATTGTAGAGGGTCAGTTTTTTATTTCTATTTATAACCAATACAAATTGGCTGGCCCACTATAAGTTTAATGTTTACTAAATATTGAATATAAAGAAAAAATGCAATAAAAAATTTTGTTGTAAGTACAATGCTAAAATAACTGAGCAGTACTAAAATTGAACAAGATGAGATGTCTCTAGATACTGACAACAAAACAAGAACAATCTCCTCACATAGTTTAAATAAAGGGTTCAGTTCAAAATTGCTGGAAGGTTACTCAGATCAATAGACTCATGAAAAAGGTCAGAGGACACAATGGCTGAAACATTGTGATTAATAACAAAGATGAGGATATTAGTAAATATATTTCCATAAGTATAATGCAATTGAAAAATTACTTCAATATTATTGTCAACTTTTGATATCATAGATAAACTGGAAAATATAATTGTTATTATTATTAAAATTCTGGTTTGTCTCCTCTTCAATAGTATTGTGAAGTTACTTCCCCATGTCTCCAGGGAACTCCTCTTATGCCTGCTAGATGGTGCTATATAAAATAGTATAAAAGGAAAAACTCAAACCTTCTCTCACACTCTGTTTTCTCTTTTCAACCACAGGATGCTATAGTGACACAACATGTCTTGTTTCCCCTTTGGAGAGATTTGTTAGTCCCTGAGGAAATTGACTTTTTAGTTTCAACTGTATCACTCAGCACATCCCCACCCAACTCATTCAATACACCATTTCATATTCAGAAAAAAATTCATATGATCAAAGTAACATCCCATGTAATAATAATAACATCTCATTCAGAAAGAAACTTTCATGTGACCACAATAAAGTGTGACCACAATAAAGTGTGACCACAACATCACATTGAGAAAAAATAATATGACCACAATAACATTTACACAATAACTAATCATATAAATATATATTTCTGTCCTTTCTATTGTTCTGTCTATAAATATAAATATATATAAACTATATATGTATTGAATTTACTTATTTAGAATGTGTTCAGACATTCAACTGAATGCCATTATAATTGCTAACCATCTTTCCATTAAAGTTCAACAAATTAAATTTACATTTAAAGAAAACCAAATTTTTTAGTGATTAAAAATTACAGTTGAAAAATTTATAGATTTACTACTTGACATGTTTCTTTAGTTCAGTATTATTTTCTTTGTTATTTTGTAATATAAAAGAAATCACAATCTTGTGGTGATTATATCCACAATAATATTTTGTGATACAATACTGTAGGGAGTTAATCTGAACATTGGGGGTCACCAAATGTAGGGGGCGCAGAACATATTTGGTTAATTTCTCTCTCTGAGGATAAAGCTGGCACAGGGCCCCCCCAGATGTACTTTCCAAATAAGGCCTCTTTCCCTATTATTTAATTTATGAAGATCAAAAACTCTTGACGTTAGACAAGAAAGGAGAAATAATGATTCACAAATATATTGTTTCAAAACATAACAATTGAATTTATTAGTGTTTGGTATACATGCATGAATACTGAGTGAAAAAGGTAGGACAGAGTCGTGTCCCTTTGATTAGGTAAATAGTTGTACCTGAATTCATATTATGAGAAAGTAATATTAAACTGTAATAGAATGTAATGAGTTTGTATTGAGTGTTTTGAACTGAATGAACAAGTTAGGTAGAGTTCAGAGATAATACTTGCATGAATTAAGTATTGTTCATTTAATGTCTGACTGTATCAGTCGAGACAGAGTTCCTTTAGGGTCACATTTTGGCGGCGTGTTGAGATGTACGAGTGACATAGATAAGTTAGGCTTGAGTCAGAAAGAGCAGGAACAGAGAAGAGAAAGAATATCGCACGTGTTGGGTTTATATAATGGTCATGTATCATGTGGTAAGATCAAATGGAAAACGTGGTAAAACAGATTTGTCACATGAAGGTGGTTTGATTGGTTGGAACTGACTAATCAACGAGCTAGTTTGAAGGTGATTGACCAATGGGTTCTCGTTGAAATTTTGTATGAAAGTAGGATGTTACTTACCAGATAGGAAGAATGCACTTCCTAAAAAGAGGAAAGGCTGGTTTGTTGTGGAAGATTCCACAATACCAAGTTTATGGATGGTATGTACTTAGTCTCATGTGCTTTTGAAGAGAAGAATCACAACTGCACTATTTAAATATATTTAATACCCAAATAGAATGAGAGAAATAAAGAGAAAAAGTGTTCACAGACAATGTGCATCTGCAGACTTAGCTCAGGAGAAAGGGCATCCAGTTATCTTGTCAATAGTCCTTGTTCACAGCTATCTTCTTTATTTCTCTTGAGTTTGCATAACTTGATGCCACTAACCAGGGCTTGTAGTAAAGAGAGCAGACAGCTTTGTACTGTCTGAGTAATGTGGTGGAAGAAAAAAATAGGAACATCTCTGAATTTGGTGCTTATATAGCCATTGTTGCATGACCCTTACAGGGGTAGTAATTAGTCCTTTCTTTAGCCATTCAGCATCCTCATTTTATTCTATGCTTGATTAATTGTATTTTTTGATTGATTATTTTAAAATCCAATAATCTTTCATCTGAAATGATATTTCACATTTCTTGATTATTAGTTCATTATTGTTTCTTCAGTCCTTAGGCATAAAATTCGAATATCTTTGGAGACTTTGTATTTTGATATGAAAACCAAATTCTGTAAATAAATTTCCTCTTGTTTTGATGAATTTTTTGTTCTGTAGAGAAAACCTTCGCAACTTAGCATGTAGAAAGAGGTTCTCATCTCAAATAAACTATGTGTTTGCATACATCCCGAAAAAACAATGTTATTAAAACATGGGTGTGTGTTTGCATACTAAATCCTATTTTCACAAGTGCTTCACTAAAATGGATCAAGGGAAATAATTAGGCTTAATATTAAATTACCTCCCTTGAATCAGCGCCACAGCTGATAAAAGCATGGCGTCCGAAGGAGCTATTCGCAGTAAGTTCGTTTTCGTAAATTTTTTTTTTTTTTGTTTGCTTTTAGTTTAATAAATGTCAAACGTTTTTTTAGAACTTTCTATTATATTTGTATCTTTTTATGTATTTCTTAAAAAACAGCCAAACATGTACCTTTTATTTATTTCACCCGTTTGTATATCTATCATACCTTGTCGAATTGCTTTTATTGAGAACACCGGAGTAACACGTCATATGTAATAATAAACAAGTTCATGAAGTTAAAACTATTGTTTTTTTTTATGTTCCGTAATAATCTATTTTTTTTAGATTAAACTTTGAAAAGGGTTTTATCATTTTAGTATATATAAAATTGCATATTTCACTAAAACGGTCATTTCCCTATAATTTTGATGAGACTTCGTTCGCTTGTTGACACTTAAAAAACGATTATGTTTTTAAATGTTTCTCAGGAAATGAAGTTTCCACTTGGATATCGCATATTTTATTTACAGCCAAACTAACGACATTACGATTTGAATTATTATTCAATAGTCTGTTTATAAACTTGGACAATTTTTATTACGAGCAAACTTTTAGTTTTGTGCAATTAATATTTTATTTTGGAAATAATTGATGTTATTTTCTCTACTTAACTTGGATATCAAAATAAAATTATTTTTGTGCAGTTTGTGTTTTTACTTTTTAATGTAATCACAGTTCACACCGCTACTTCATGCATGATCAATTTGTTGTTTATTGGAATTGTCGAATGTTGTTTAAAATTTATATAAGTTTCACACGGTAAACCCGTCTCATTAATAATAATAATGATTATTATTTAGTTTTGAAATGTAAAAGTTTTACTTTTATGTTTTTTTTATAAAGAAACATGCTTAATTATTGCGCTTGCAATAGTGAGCAGAGATTTTCACGTTTGAAGAAGTGAAAACTAAAAACTTACATTAAAAAAAAAAGACAAAAACTATTATTTTCAATTAATTACCGAAAAATTTTTTTTCTTGTTTTTACTCTAAAAACAATGAATTTGTTAAACTAAAAAAGTAAAACCATAGTTCATCCTCACCAGCTTACTTATATACTTGTGACAAAGTAAACTAAAATAACATCATAAACTAAACAACAATACAATACATACTTTTTTTTTTTAAAAAGTCACACCTATGTTGCTAATTGTCCTGAAGTTTGAACGGCGTAATGAACTCTTATGAAAGAAGGTGCATGTTGCTTTTCTTTTTCATTTGGACGGCGATTAATTCCGGATATTTTTTTAACAATTATTTTTCTTTAATTTTAAAACCCAGGAAGTTTCTTTGGAGTTCAATCAGTATTTTTGTTTTGTTTGTGGCATGTGCGCGTATGGCACACGGGTTGAATTGCTGACATCACAACATGAGGTTCATTTGCATGAGCCGTGTTGAAAATAATTGAACACAAATATACTTTATATTTTATTCTAAATAAACGGACATACTATGGTCACCATCGATCATATTCTTTTATAATTGTATTTATTTGCACTTAGAAATTTATCGGCGAATAGTTCAAATTCCAGACACGGCTGTTGCATTTATTTCGTCTTTTTTGCGAAAGGCTTGAATCACCACTCCTCATCCATGGGCAAAAAAGGGCATACTCAGCCTTGGTAGGGCAACACTAACAACCAGTTTTTTTAAAATCAAAACTGTAGAGAAAGCAAAACACTTCACAACCTTTCCCAAGAACAAACATACCGTAGTAAATCAAATTCAAATAAAAACTAAAGAGGAGTTTGAAGTAGGCAATCATCGTTCACTGTCACGTCCTGAAGTGATAGATGTCATTTAGTGCCTCACTACTACAAACAGTTACATGTTTTGTGTTTATTTTGTTTTCTGGTCTTATTCCTCACAACTGGATCAGCCTTTTTCCTCTCTCCTCATGGCTGTATTTATTTTATCCTTCCTTCCCCTCTCCCTTAGCGAGAGAGCCTCTTGAATTTGTCTAAAAGGCAGAATACAGTGGGCTCTCTTTCTTTTTTGAGGAGTGGATGGGTCCAACTAACATCAGGTTTGTTTCTTTTCTTTGTTTTTATATTTTTGTTTGTTTTTTGGGATTATCGCCCCCCCCCCTATCATTTGTAAATTTTTGTTAAAAAAATCATGGTGTTTTCAAATTTTCATTTCATGTGGTGTATTTTTGTAGGTCCCCTGAGTGTATGAGATATTATGGTGAATGGAGGATTGATTGATTGATGATGGACAGGTTCTTTTGGTGTATGTGGTAAATTGTAAAGAGTTGTGAATCAGATTAGCTTGGTATAGGATATCAGTCATGACCAGCCTCAGCTCAACCCTCCCCCTTTTTGTCCTTGTGTCACAATTTTGTATTTTTGCAAAATAAATCTTGTGAGACCAAAAGTTCCCAACAGGAAACCTGAAACTGTTTGTGAGAATTGCAGCCGAATACAGTGAAGACAAACAAACCTTTCTCAAATACTAGAAAAATTCAGAAAATTCAATGCTCACTACAAAAAAAAAAAAGCTGCATCAACTCTTGTAATATATAATCTCATTACACTCTCCAATCACTTACCAACCTAAATATAAATCATAGAATAGGGTGTAGACATTAGTTCTCTTTATTGAAAGCAGGTCAGGCTGGTCCACTCTATAAAAGGCTTTCATTGCCTGCACACTGTGGTCAAGCCCTGGATTGAGAAGGTGTTGGTACTTGTTTTAACAGGTGTCTGTCTCTTCCCACGTCATCAAAAAAAATTATCAGCCAGTCTGACTGGTTGGTAAATTTCATGAGTATGTCACCCCAAACATGCAAATAAAGAAAGCCTCTTCGTTTCCAAACACCTAGAAATTAAAATAAAAACATTATATCTAATGGCCAATATGAATGAAGACCACCTGACCTGGGTATGCAGTTGCTTCTGAGACTATTTTTGAATTTTATTGAATAACTGTTCTCAGTTTTTTTTCAAGTGGAACATGTGTAGAATTTTTTTTTTAATATACTGATTTTGTTCTTATTGCATATCTTTGTTTTTCTTCATAACTTGTCCTCAATTATATCCAGCACCCTGGTATATATGAGGGGGTGCTGTAAAGTTCTTGATCTTACTCACTCCTGAAAATCTGACCAAATCACCAAACATTAGAATTTTTTTTATCCTTTCTTGGTTGGGCTGAAAAATTTTCAGAACCATGTGCATGTCTCTGTATTTGTGTTTGTTCTTATTTTAATTTCCAGATGTTTCTAAGCAAAATTGGTGTATCAACTAATATGGCATGTTTAAATCTGATACTGATAATTAAGTTTACTTTTCCTCTTCATGTAACTAAATAAACACACTCGACTGTTATGTCAATGATATTAAATAATCTTAATAAAATATGTTATTCTTTTTAGGTTTTCTTAAATTATTTTTTTGTTTTTACTTTCAGATCTGCCTCTTCATGAGATGGATACCAATCTCATGTTTGAGAAATTTACAATTCAAGAAATCCGAGAAATAGAAAAGAAGAACAGGTAAATCAGTTTGTTATTTTTTTTTTTTATTTTGGTTTGTTCAAGTAACAAGTGAAATTATTTCATCTCTTTATTTTCTGTGTTGGAGACGGAATCTGAATCTAATACAAAGCTCCTTAGGTAAAAGAGGTGAAAATTTATAATCAAAATTTGGTTTACTAAACTTATGTGCATTCTTTAGGATTATATTTTCTTTTAACTGCAGTCTCTGAAAATACTTAAAACATATTAAGACTTAGAAAATGTTCTTATACCAATAAAAATGGGGTTGACATTTTTTTTCTTTTTTGCTATCTTAACCCTTTGAGCCCTGACTACAGCTTTACTGGTGGTAGAGAAAAATGACGTAATGCCTAGCCACCAGTTGAATGGTGGCTAAACACTTGTAACTATTTTTGTATCTACTCTGAAATGTTACATGCCAATTATTTTCGAATTTTGACTCGGGAGCTCAGGCAGAAGAAGGGGTAAAATTGTTCAGGAACACTGGGCTCAAATGGGTTAACAAAGCAATTTTTTGTCAAAGGCAGTTTGTATGTCACTGCCAAGTAAATTGCTGACCAGTTTATCATGTTTATCCTTATGATTTGTTTAGTATATAGATATGAAGATTATTTTGGTTTGAAACCTCTGATATAAAAATTCATAGTCACAAAACACTTTGGTAATCCTGTTGCTAACATGGCAACCAACAGAATCCAAACTGAACTAATATTTCTTCATAAATTGGCTGTTGTATCCATTGGCAATTGTTTTTTTGATATCATTTGCTAATAAAAATTTAAATATTTAAAGATATTTATATATTTTATCAGATATTATTTTAGATGTCAATGTCTTCACAATAAAAGAGACATAACTACTATGCTTATGAAATTTACGATATATATTTATATGATCTATATATCATGTGAATTTCAGCTTATACTATCTAACCTTTTAACACATATTGATAATAACTGGTTTATCAGGCAAACAAAGTATAAATTTTTATTTAAAAATAAATCCAAAAGATATTGGTCAGAGAAACACATTTGATTAACACAATATTCCATCTACATGAATAATTTATATGATTTTACATCCTTGACATTTATAAACTTCATCACTCTTTTATTCATTGATTTTGTTAACTTTTCTACAGTTTTCATGGTAAATTTGCTTTTTAAGCCCCGTGCTAAATATCTATTAAAATTTTCCAAAATCGACATATTTTCATGCAAATGTACATACTGAACTCAAATTAACAATTAAATTATGAAAAAATCTACCATTTTGGAGTTATCGACAAGAACAAATTAGGGTCAGGGTTACTAACCCTAACCGGGGGTTAGGCTGACCCCAACTTTAGGTTAGGGGTTAGTAACCCTGATCCCTAACCTCCACCCTAACCCTAATTACTGTTTATTTTATTTTTAATTTAAAAAAATGCTTTATTGTATTATTTATTCTTTATTAATTTGTCATTGCTATTCTACACAAAAAAACAGGTTTTATTGTATTATTGAATTTGTTTTCATTTAAAGTTTTATGTTATAAATAATTCTTTTCTTCTTTTTCAATTTTTCATTGCTATTCTACACAGAAAAACAGGTTTTATTGTATTATTGAATTTGTTTTCGTTTAAAGTTTTATGTTATAAATAATACTACACTTATAAAAAAAATGCTCTATAACAGTGCGTAGTGATTTCTGCACCAAAAGTCTGTAAAAGAAGTAAATAGGCCAAAATTTCTGATTACACCAATGGAAGTACCCCACAGTGAATTACTAAAAATTATGGCAGTAATGGTGGACGAATGATTGACAAGAAATCTGACTTTTTCTTGTTGATAACTCCAAAACAGTAGTTTTTTTCCTAATTTAATTTTTAATTCAAGTTCAGCATGTACATTTACATGGAAATAAGACAATTTGGGAAAATTTTAATAGATATTTAGCAAGGGGCTTAAAAAGCAAATTTACCATTTACATTTTAACATTAATTGTAGCTCTCTGTATTGTCCTGCAGGTATTTTCTCTGCTTGTTTTCCATTCTAATGTACATCTCTAAAGGATGGACCATAAATTTTCTATTGGATTAATATGTGGAGAAGCTGTAGGCCTTTCTATAAATGTTGTGTTTGAAACACTTTTTTTTATTTTTGGTGTATGTGGGCAATAGTTGATTTTGCAGATTATGAAAGATCACTGTCTTGTATGAATTGAATATACTCTGTAACTTAAAGCTTATATCTCAAAGAAAAATCTTGTCCAAGAACAGAATAATTCTCTGTATTTAACTTGAATCATCATCATTATTTAAGAGAATTATAATTTTATTGCCAACAATATTAGCTAAAATATTGCTTCACCTCCTCACTGTTGTTTTTAAGTAGTGTTTGTTGATTGTTAGTATGAAGGCTTCAAACTCTAGCCCATCTGCCAGGTCCATCCAATGTGGCTCTACATTCATCAGTAAAAGGACTGTTGAAAAATCAGTTTTCATGTAATTTTTCACCTAACTCTCTTTGCATTTTTTATTTAAAGGTGGTAATTTGGTTGCTTTTAATGTCTTTAACCAATGTTCTTAATATTCTGTAGATATATATTTTTTCTCTATTCTTGCAACACCAGCTTTTTCAAATATTTTCTAACTGGCCAATAGACCTTTCTTGCTTATCACCATTTTTATTTTTCTAAAATTTATTTTTGACAAACTTAATTTTTTTTCTCGTTCTTGTCAATGATTTCAATTTCTTTTTTGATTGTTCTTTGATCTCTGTTCAACCTTTTCACATTTTCAAGTATGTCCAACAATAACTTTGCAACAGTTTCTCTTTTGAGGCCCTATCTTTCTTCTGACCCATGCCAATCTTTATATATAAGTAATTAAAAAATGAATATCAATAACTCTACTATTTTACACACACACACCCACCCACACACACACACACACACACACACACACATATATATATATATATATATATATATATATATATATGATAAATAAAGCTTGAATTGCATAAAATCTCACTTGGCCAAATAAGTTTTGAAAAGATTGCATTTTTACTTGATTTGTTCCTTACCTTCTCTCCTAGCACTTTTCAAGCATCCCAACTTTGTCCTCTTGGCAATTTTGATAACATAATAGTAGCTGTTGATGTTTGTTTTGTATCATCTATTAGGCAGGAACCTCCTATTCAGAAGACTTCTTTCTATTACCAGTATACTGATTAGGAATCATTTGGTGATTTTCTTTGAGATACTGCTTGAATTGATATTCATAAGCTTCCTATTGAGAATTGTGCCACAGAGATTTCTTCTTGAGTTAAAACTGATTTTGATGCTTTTGTACCTTCTTGTAAATACCAGGTGAAAGCAAAATCTTCTCCTTGCTCACACTGACCTGTTCAGCTGCTATAACACACAAGAATTATTTTTCCAGCTGTACCAGTGTGATAGTTCCAATCACAACAGACATTTCTTTGTGTCTGCTTTCAATAATTGTAAATGTGTCCTCAAAGAGGCTAAGTCTCTGATGACAGAATGAGGCACCATATAGCCTCTAACAAGTTTGGTTCTTGTGAATACTGGCAGCTCTGTAAGAGTGTGTTAAATAAGAATAAGTCTCCTATCCCTTCTCTTTTCACTCAATTTTGGGGTGTTAACATTTTCTGCTGATAAAGTAGAATGTTTTGTTAGTAAAATTCCCTTCAAATTCTACTCTTGACTTATCTGGATTATCTTTGCCTGACTTTCCACTTAGTACTGATTCTCTATAAAGTGATATGCATATAACTCCATCTATAGTTGGATCCCCACAAAGCACATGAATTTGTAAGAAATGTGATCCTGAACTGGCTCTTGTTCTCTCTAAAATCTAGTATAAATGCCTTGCTGCTTGTTGGAAATCTTCTGTAGTTTCAAAGAACTCATGCAAACTGCCTGATCCTTCTATTGGCCTATTAGCCTTCTACCTCTTTTTGGCAAAATACTAGAGGCTCTAATCAACTCTGAATTGGATAAGCATCTCACCTCACAGGGTCTTCTTTCAGATAAACAATATGGCTTTTGCTTCTCTAAGTCAACTGCTGATGTGTTAACAGTTATTGCTGAAAGAATTTATTAAGCTTTAGATAAAAATGGTGAAGTTTGGGTGGTTGCATGTGACAGAGTTTGGCATACTGGTATTCATAAGTTGAAGGGTTATGGTATTTCTGGACAAATTTTTGAACTTATTTAATCTTTCTTATCAAATCCCAAAATGAAAGTTGTTTTAAACAGCCACTCTTCTAGATCCTTTTGCATTAATGGAGCTGTCCAGCAGGGTTCTACATTATTCATAATTATCATCAACAACCTTCATTATGTCATCAGGTCTTCGTTCAGTATCTATGCTTATGATACAACTATTTACTCCTGTCTTAATAGTAAGTCTGATTTGTTCAATAAGATCAAATTGGCAGCTGATCTCAAAAATGACCTATAATCTCTTGTTAACTGGGGCAAGAAATGTCTTGTTAATTTTAATGCCTCTAAAATGAAATTGCTCTCTTTTTATCATCTGAGAGAACCCTTCTTGCCTTCCATCAGTATGGCTGATGCTCATCTTCAGGAGACTGACTCATTGCACCTTCTTGGGCTGACATGAAGTGGATTCAATTGATAAATCTGCTGCTAGTTCACTGTGCAATGTCAGACGATTTTTCTTGTCAGAATCTATCTTGCACATTTATAAGCCTACCATGTGTCCATGCATCGAATATTACTGCCACATCTGCTTTAGTGCTTCTGCTATGTATCAAGATATTATTGACAAGAAAAAAAATCTGCAATCTTCATCTTCAGTCACTTTCTCATGGCCATAATGTAGCTTCCTTGTGCCTTTTCTATACATATTTTCATTTTCTGATGAACTGGTACCTAGATTTTATAAATTTAAGTGCAGTACTAGATTTGTGGCAATATCTCATCATTTTACAGTTGAAATAGCTAGATGTAACCTTAAGTTCTTC